ATTTTCCGCTAAATGTGTTTTATTAATTGATTAATAAATATTAACTTATATTATAAGACAAATATCCTAATAAACATATTTAGAAAGATTATTGAGTCTTCTGTAACATAATTTTATCTCTATCGTTACAATACAAACGTAAACTTGCAACAAAACTCTTAAGCATAGAGGTATTTATGTGGCAAAGGGCCGTGCACTTATTGTTACAAATCAACAATAGCATAATAGCTTGGGACTGCGAATACGAACTGACAGAACTGCCGGGGAAATACCGCAATCTTAAAGAAGACCAGCATGAAATTAAACGATTTTGCCTTCGTGTTTTGTCCGGTGAGTGAGATATCGGGTGATGCCTGTAAATACTTTTCTTTGAATAAAAAAACAGAACAGTTTGTTCATGGACAGTCTTTTTGTCGCAAAAAACGAAATCTAATATGAATAATCTAATCTAAATGAAAAATTTAAAATCATTGTATCGGGCATTTCTCCAAGCAATGCTGATACCCAATCTGATCCTGCACCAGTGTCTTTAGTAATAAATATCCAAATGTCAATTAGCTGGGAAGTAACACTTTTTTCTTAAAATATTCGAAATAAAAACTGTCAAAACTATTCAATGCAGATGTGTAAAATTAGCAAGCTCAAAACAGCCGCGGGCAAACTAGGATATTAACCTAGTATTTCTATCTTCAGAGAGAAAAAGAATCTAATTAGAGAGTATTCGTTTGAAATATTCATTCTGAATGAAAAATTCTTCGTTTCATTTTGTTTTACATGGAACATTTTCTATTCCTGTATTTAAATCGATAAAAATGTTTTGCATTTATAAATATACTAAAAATGTAATAATTGTAAACGATAAATAAAGAGTAAAAAAAGTAGTACTAATATAGATATATATCATTGGAATAAAATATTCTAAAAAAGACCACACTTTCGAACAAAATGCGACCGAGTTCAAATAAAGTAACTATAAGTGGGATATCTGAAGTAAGTTAATCTTGCCTCCTTCATCTGTCACATAGGGAGGCATCCCTTAAAGATTTTCTTGTGCTCAAGGGGATTTACTAGAAGCGATCCAGTAAACAACAGTTTTATACATGAACTGGTTACGTTTAAGTGTTGAAAGGATAAAGTAATTTATGTTTCGAATACAACAATTTTACTAAACAAGGTACGATCAACGCATACAATGAATATTAAAATGCAAGAGGTTAGACTTTAGAACAAACCTTACTTAAATATATAGAGTTGAATTTAAACAGAATCTGTTATTTGGTAATTTACGAGTAAATATGACCTTATGCTATCTCACGTATTCTAACTTGTCGGGCCTAAAGCCATATAAAAACGAATACTTTATTTGTACACCTTGTATTACAATGGTACTTAGAGCGAATACGTTTGCTAATATTTGAATTTCGGCAATGCCTCATACGTATAACTCTCGTTTAGCACGGTTATAATATAAGTAAAGCAATAATCTAAACATCCCACTGTGCACACGAGGCCTCAAAAAGCGTAACCTTCAAAGAACATTAGAGCTTACCACCACGAGGCTTTCATCTGCAATATTGTTGATATGACACAATCGCGAATCTAGGGGGAGGTTCATGGGGGCATGACCTCATCCAATACCAAATCTACAACATTTAAGTACAGAATTACGCTCCCCATGTATTGTTTCCAGTCAATCAATCGACCCAATAACCAATCAGCTCAAACTTTAGAATAACATTTTATATAAGCTATAAATATCCCTTTTTTATTCAGTAATCCTAGATTTGAAAATGTAAACAATTTCAATAATAATCTTTTGTTATAGAGGATAATTAATTTAAAATCACCATAAACAAAATATTCATTAAACTTAATCTCTTTATGTTCCAATAAGCAAGAACCTGTTTATTTAGAATATTTGTAACAATTTTAAATAAGATAAAAAATTTAGAATATTTGGAACAATTTTAAAATTCTAGTAAAAGATTCTGGAGTTTCTATACAATTTACAACACAACTAATACCTACACGATTAGACGAATAATTTAACCTCGATTTTAAGAAAAGCAATAAAACGCTTATGGCCGTTTTAGATCTTCCACATGTCAAGCACAACGAGAACCATCTAAGAATACTAATTTATTCCTTCGACTATTTCTATTCGATTTACCACTCTTTATAAGTAATTTATTTAAAATATTCTTTCATTTATTTTTTGTTCTTATCTTTTTTTTTCATTTATTTTTTGTTCTTATTTTATAAGTATAAATTATAAATAGGTCCAAGTAAAATATAGTGATTTAGGTAATTTTTAATATGGGTTTATCATCAGCTCGCGACCCCTTAATTGATAAAATTAAATGCAAGCACACCAATACTACTAGACCTTAAGATATCATAAGGAGCTTTTGCGTAGATCGGGATACTATAAATTAGCAAAGAATTGAAGAGAGCCTGGGCTACATCAATACTCTTACGTTAGTTAGGACGTCACTCTCGTGAGCATGAACGTTGTAAAAGGATCGAAACGTCGGAAATAAAACGCGATATAATCCGTAAAATAATTTCATTTAACCATGTTACCTTATTTATAAAAAGGGCCTATAACCACATTAGGTTAGTAGACTAAAGCTGATTGGATTATCTTTAAGTAAATTTAAACGATAAGTTATCTTTTCGCGGCACGCGTATCCGAAATTGTTTTTTATGTGGGATTCAACCGGTAAACGCCTCGTTGATGATGATATTATCGGCGGTAGTCATACCGCCGCTCAACTTTTGCCTTCGTCACATTAGTTACAAAAGAGCTGCAAACTTTTTAGGCTATATTTGCAAAGACGTATAGGTTTGAAGACCACTGGTGACAACTAAAGAACTTATCGCTAGTCGTTTATGGGCAAAAATAAACATTTACTATACAGTTTTAACCGTAAAACAGCAGTCAACATAAAATTGTCAACACGGCGCTGCGGGATTTGAACCGGCGCCGACGTCTGACTTTGCTCACGACGCTTTGCGAAGTTAAGCCTAATTCAAGATGCGAAAATGTCGTCATCTATCTACATTCTTAATTGCATTTTTTTTAATGTGGTGCTCCATCTTATGTGTATAATTTACACTTTGAAACACCTTACAAAGATGAAATGATCTTTGTAAGGTGTACATTGAACATATGTAACCAGAAATGTCTCCGTTTAAGCTCTTGTTTAATTACAAAAATTCGCAATTTTAGTTTCATCTTGAGTAAAGAGACTATAACTAAAGAAATAAAAGAATGTAATGTAAAAAATTATCCTAAAACTTGGTATGTTTTTCATGCGAGTTAATTACTCAACAATAAAAATAGGCTACGCGTAGATTTAAGACAACGAATCATCGACTACTGTAAGTTACAAATTTTATAATTATATATATTAAATATATATTATTTGAATAAATTCCAATAATTTTATATCAAATTCATCCCAAATCGAACATTCTCATAAGTGTTTTAAAGAGCGAATAAACAGATGAATTAATTAAACGAATATTTTGGACACGATATGCAAACTATTGCGAAGGGTTGATAGTACTTTAATAAATAATAAGTAATTCTAAAATTGTTTAGCATAGATTTCGATGAACAAATAATTAGAAATGTTGACTTTAGGCTCCTCTATCGGCGACACATTATAATATCTACTATCCATCGTATTTCATAAGTTGTTATCGTAGAAAATAATCTTATCATATCGAAACGTTTTTGACTAATGTAAATTTGCAAAGTATTTGTTTAATGACTGATAAACGATGAAGAAGTGTACAGTAATTATTATTTCTACAGTAGCTGCTTTATTAATAGCAGCAGGTCTGGCCGTGCTCATCTGGTGGCTTGTGCAAAGTGAAGATTTAATCGAGATAATCCGTAAGTTATTACAGTTCAAATATCGTTACATACAAAACACAATTCTGAGCATAATTCGTATTTATATAATAAACTGCTGAGAAAAGTCCGAAAGCGGGCACGCAACAAAATATAGTTCAAGAACACGAGTTCAAGTGCTAGTGAAATAGTATGTCAAATCGTTTGATGTCAACCGCCACCGGTGTCACACGGTCCGCACCGAACCTCGACGGCCCATAGACGACACTCCTTATCCAACGCACGATCACCCATTGTTGAGGGCCTCAAACCGTGGGTTCAGGCTAGCCCATCGGTTCTGTGTTCGATGAAGCTTTAATAGTCTCGGGACTGAAAGGGTTAATATCAGTTAATACAATGCAAGAGGAAGGTTTGAAGTCTTCAACGCTGAGCCTAAATGATTGACAAAAATGTATCATGGCATACGAGTCACAGCAGTTTCATAGAAACGAGATTTCATATTGCATTTTTTTAAAATATACATTAGTTTAAACGTTTAAGTAACGGATTTGACAACTTTCATGAAATTTTGTGTATGCTTTACAATTTATGCTTCCCAAAAATTAAAATAAAGATATATAATACAAACAAAAATAACATGCACTGGATAAGTAAAGGACTAAATAAATAAAAAAGTTGCAAAACTAAAAGATTCCTACGATCCATGTATTATAAAAATAAAACAGTGATACATAAAAATAGATACATAAAATATTCTAATATATTAAAGAAGTGTATCCAAGTGTCGAAAAAGAATTCCAACATAAAATTTATAAATACAAGTCAAAATAAATGTAAAGCAATATGGTCGGTTATTAATAAGGAAACGGGAAATACAAAGCTTAACACCAGTTTATTAACAGAAATAAAAATAAACATTGAATATATAACAAATCCAACGGATATAGCTACCGCTTTTAATAATTATTTTATTGAACTGACAAATACCGTTGCATTCAATAGTATTCGACCTATCACAAACATTAGTAAATCGGTGATGGCCAACTCAATTTTTTTGAAGCCCATAACAGAGGATGAGGTTAGAAGTGAAATTATGTCTTTAAACAACACTAACTCTGAAGGATATGATGAAATAAGTAATTCATAAAATTGAAAAAAATGAGCTCAAGTCCTATTTATCTAGCTATAGAGAAACAAATACGGCGTCCCTCAAGGTAGCGATCTGGAACAATATTGTTCATATTATATTTAAATGACATTCCTCAAATAACGAATCATAAATGTATTTTATTTGCAGATGACATTTCCGTAATTGTTACATCTGATAAAAATAATAATCATGAAATGGACATTAATAATACAATTGACAACATTATAGAATGGCTACAAATGAATAATTTAAAAATTAATCTTAAATAATCAAATTATATCCAATTTAACAAATCTAAACATGCAAAGTACAATTTAAAGTTGAATATCCCTAAAATTAAAGAAGTGCCACAAACCAAATTCCTAGGCTTAATTATTGACCAAGACCTAAATTGGACAAAACACGTAGACGGCTTATGTAGTAGGATAAACCAATTTGTTTATGCCTTAAATCGAATTAAAATCTTAACTAATAAAAAGACAGCAATCTCGTCCTATCATGCCTATATAGAGTCAATACTACGGTACGGAATCATACTATGGGGTAACAGTACGAACATAAATAGAGTGTTTATAGCACAGAAGAAATGTATCAGAAACCTATGTGGTGTCCGCCCTGACAAGTCCTGTAGACAGTTATTCCAGGCGCTTGATATATTAACGCTGCCCACGCTATACATTTATGAAATATGTATCTTTGTAAGGAAACAAAGAATTGTTTACAACAGCAAACGAAGTCAATAACAGGCCAAAAAGGAACCAACATAGACTAGTGCTAAAAGAGATCCCTAGATCTGCAAAGTATAGTAATAATTGTTTGATGATGTGTGTACCAATTTTTAATAAAATACCCAATTGCATGAAAATGCTAGATGACAGACAATTTAAAAATAAGTTATTAATATGGTTAAAAGTCAATAATTTTTACGACATCAAAGAATTTTTAATAAGTTTTAATACCTGACATTATTTAATTAATTGTAATTTTATTTTTTCTACTTTTTATTATAAATTGTGACATTTAATTTAGAATTGACCGCAGCTGTGTTTTGTATAAATAGTAGTATCAACAATAATATTTTGCATGCTATATAAAAATTAGCATAACATGTGGTACAATATTATGATTATTAACACCTTGTGAAACCATGTCATAAGCAAATAAATAAATAAATAAATAAATAAATACACACTTATTTAATGGATCATACCAATATGTACAATATTAAATCCAACTAAATTACATGTTATCTGATGAACCTAGTCCATCATAAATTAATACATTTATCATACGTAGCTGTAACTTTAAGCTAGTTCAACTTAGTTTACTGTATATTGTAGATTCATAACGTTTCCGAGGTCCTAAACTCAGTTCTGTGTGATAATACACATTATCAGATGAAAAGATTAATAAAATAATATTGAAAAATCTTAGTGTATTAAGATTAGTAAGCAAGTATTAAGCTTGTAATATCATATATAAAATATTATTTCAGAACTCGAAGGCGATGGCTTTGAAGGAATCCGGCATTCAGCTGCCTTTACAAGGATACCGAGTTTTGGTGACATGTTCTGGTTATTTTACCCAACTGTCGCGAGCTCCCCTACTTCACGTCCCATCATTCTGTGGCTAGACGGAATAACAGGCGTTCCACCAAGTCTTTTGGCCAATTTCGGAATGTTTGGTCCACTTGATTTCAATTTAAACCGAAGAGAAGGTTCTTGGGTATTTAGTTTTACCTAATGTATTATAACAATAACAAATTCTTTGCTGAAAAACCTTAAAGTAACTATAATCATGTGAAATATAAGAGTTTACAATTTATTTTATATTAAATAAACATGTTTTTGAACTGTGTTATCCCACAGTCGTGAATTAAAACATTAACGCTAATAACGCGAGCCATTGAAAGTTTAAAAATCATAAAATACAAAATATTGCTAATAATATAATGTCGCTAATAAAATTTCGCCAATAATTTAAAATATGTTTTGAGTAAATAGCTAAAAGTAAAACCTAAAATTTTTTAAACACTTTCTTTGATTACATTAAATTTTCAGATAGAAGACTACAATTTATTGTTTATGGATGCGCCAATAGGAACAGGTTTTAGCAGAGCAGAGAATACTAAAAGAATCTCCAGCAATATTGACGATCATGGTAAACACTCTATAGTAACGTATAAACTTTACTTTAATATGAAATCTAAATAAGATATATTTATGTCAATTACGTCGTTTAATACCTCGATATCGTTTTACAAATGACTACAGTAACGTCATAGTTAAATTATTTTTGTATATCTCTACTTGAAAAAGTATTTATTAAACAGTTTTATTTTAGTATGATATTAAACAGTTGGAATTGAATTGTTCCCCCTTCTTTCCCCTTGGTATCCCACCATCTTACTGAAATCAGGAGGATATCGAATTATTACCTTAACTTAATAAGTAAATACAGAATTCTTGCTCAATTATTTGACGCACTTTTCAGTCGACAGCTTGTTACACGCCGTAGAATCTTTTTATTATCTTCACGAAGAATACTCAGAAACCCCCCTGTACATATTTGGACAAGGTCATGGATCGCAACTGGCTACGTTATTAGCAATACGTCTTACCGAGGTAAGCCAAATTTTCTAAATAAATTAACTAATTTTTTATTGTGCTGATGATGCTTCATCGCCGCTTTAATGTTGCGCTGGTACCAACTTCAAATGCGATGTCTACAATTCGTGCTTTTAATGTTAAGTAACTATTAAAATTGAATTAAAGAAAATCAAATGAAACGTTAGGCACAGTTAAGCTACCATAGTTAATGTAACGAATGAAGTATACGAATCGGCGCTAGGGTAGCGTTTCAGATTATGGCCTTATGCGCCCTATCAAAATAGTATATATATATATATATATATATATATATATACCTATACATTGAATTGTATAGCAGATGTTATTAATTAAATTAAATAAATGTAGATATATTACAGATTTTCGTTATCATGGTACGTAATAATAAATTATAGTATCTGCAAAAAATAAAAAATTTAAAAACGGTTTCTTAAAAATGTTGTTAAATTCTGTGCTGCTTCCTTAACTTTTCTCTAAATGCTATTCAGGGCATTACAAAAAATTATACTTACTGATAATTATACTGAATATTATACCGAATTAAAATCATCTACGTTACAGACAGAGCGCTTTACGAATAATGTTAAAGGTGTAGCAATTGGCAACGGCATAGTAGCGCCAGCCGTGGCTCTCAATCAACTCGGCTTTTACCTTGAGGAGCTTGGATATATTGATCGGAATGGCCGAAACGCTATCGAGGAACTTTCGGCAACTGTAAACAACTACACTAACCACGAGCAATACGAAGAGGCCTTTGACTTGTTCGTGACATTGGGAGAATTCATTAATGAGAACGCCGGTGCAATTGCAGTTAACCTAAATCACATAGTGGAGAAATTAACCCGTGGATCTACTAACGGTAAGCTAATTTTAACAAGTACAAAAATTTATGTCCATATTTACCATTATCTTTATCCAACGTAGCGTTGGAAGGCCTCCCTCTAGGTGGACCGACGACATCATAAGAGTCGTGGGGTTTTTATATTATCGATTTAATTGAGAAACAAAAAAATATATTCAAGTTTTCCTTTCTTTACTCATTAAATAACTGTCTTTTGTTTTTTGAGGTCAGTTTTTGAAGACAGTGTTGTAATTTGCAGATTATTTCGGCACCAGTCAATATGTACGAGACATATCGAAGACTGACGTAGATCTTAATAAGTTTATGGATGAAACTGTGGCACCCTTGCTAGGCATACCAGATAACGTTAACTACGACGGACAACGCGAAGCTGCCACAAATGCTTTCAGATCTGCATTCATGAAGCCCACAGTTGAAAGGGGTAAAAAAAGAAAAATAACTTTACTAATTAAACAAATGTCATCCATTTAAATGAACATCATTATTCTGTATTTTATTGTTAATAGTAGTCACATAGATATAAAAAAAATTCTAGGCTTACACAGGCTCTAGAAATTTGTCTAAAGCAGTCTATTTGTCACTAGTATAAATGCAATTTGAAACTGGAAATAAATTTTCAACTGTACACAATTTTTACAATTATTATTAATTTTTCTAAAAGTATCAATCACAATTTGTTCAAATGATTAGTGAAAATATGACGATCACACAAAATTATTTTAAAATGTTACACACCAGGACGAATTCGTCTTCAAAAAACATTTATTTATTTTAACATTATTGATAATTTGATATATAGAAGAAGAAAAATGTTTGATTTTTATTTTTACTATATTGTCCTCACAATGTTTATATAACATCTTTCTAGCAAAGCACAGCTGGATCATTCAGCAACTATCCCTTTTATTACGTAACTTTAAACGCGTTATCAAAAAACTATTACTGTTTCAGTGGAATACATTTTACAGAATTCAAATGTCACGGTAATTATATACAATGGGAATCTTGATGCGGTTTCAAATACACCAGGTGAGCAAATACCACATATAAAGGGAATTGTATGTCTTATTGTCTATTTTTTTTTTCTCCGCCGTCATATTGAGATAATATACCCTATGTCAGTCTCGCAACTAAACAAATATAATGGATACGTCATATGTTGAAATCTGTCAATAATTACGCTCGAAACACATTACCCTCTTTCGGCAGTCGGGTAAATAAAGCTAAAGCTCTTACTCTTAAAGTGCTTTACAAACACCATTTTGTTATTTAGAACGTTACTTAAGTTATTATTTCAGTTGTTGATTAAAGCACATAACAACTTATATGGAGACATGGTAACAAATCAATTAAACGTTCTATATTCTATATTCATACTATGCAAAAAAACCTAAGAGTCTTTGAAGTTACTCCAACGCTCGATCACAAAGGCGTAAAGCACGATTCTAAATTTCTTTAAAAGAATGTTATTTTAGGTCAGTTACAGTGGGTTGAGAATCTACAATGGCCGGGTCAAGACAGCTTTTTGAACAGCCCTCGGAGCACTCTTATTGTGAACAGTCTAGTCGAAGGCTACTTCCGGCAGACGGCGAGGTTGCAATTCTATTGGATGAACGCAGCTGGCCAATCGGTAAGGGTGCTTTTTAAGTTTAAAGATTCGCTTACCGCTGTAAACTAGCATTTCGCCCCCGACTTCGTCGGCGAAAATTGTGATAGCCCAGGTAATTTGCATGATATAAATATAATTTATTTCGACCATGTAGTTCCCGTTCCCATGAGAATACGGGGATAAAATATAGCTTATGTTATTCGCTGATAATGTTTCTATTCATTAGTGAAAGTATTTTTGAAATCGGTGCAGTAAAGTAGTTTTTGGGGCTCCGTACCCAAAGGGTAAAACAGGACCCTATTACTAAGACTTTGCTATCTGTCTGTCTATTTGTCTGTCGCCAGGCTGTATCTCATGAACCGTGATAGTTAGTAGACATTTTCACAAATGATGTATTTCTGTTTCCTGCTATAACAACTGCAAAAACTGAATAAAAAATAATTATTAAATAAAATAATTTTATTAAATTATTTTGAGTGGGGCTCCCATACAACAGACATGATTTTTTTGCCGTTTTTAAGTGTCATTCACGTTCTTTCAGATCCCATTGGATAGTCCGACTGCGATGAGTCGAGTACTTCAACGAATTACTACGATTTGAAATGTATAATAATAATTTATGAAATATAAGTTTTTACTTAGTGAACATTGATTTTACTTTATAGGTTGATTTTATAATGAAAATTAGTTGTCAATTAAAACTTTATTTTTATTTTTACTTAGTACCAAAAGTTTATTTCTATCCACTGTAAATTAAATAAATAAAGATAAAAAAGTAAAGACTAATAAAAATGGAATCCATTCTGATCACTATGAAAATCATTCTGATCAATTCAGAGAGTTTAACAACCCTAATAACTCAAATAACATTTGAAAATGCATCTGATTAGTTGCATCAGCTGATTAGTTGCCTTCTACGATGATCAGTGTTTCAGAAACCGGGCTTTAGAATTCATGTGGCGTACGCAAATGGGATTTCCTTTTTTTTTTTAATTGTTAAATATCTTTGTCTCTATCTCTATTGGTGTATCAAACGGTGAGAGGTCAGCACACATTACAGCTCGAATTAAAACTCATGGAGGAAATTGAAAGTATTTAAACAAAATAACTGTATTGTTTTCAAATTTGATTATCCTTTTATCGTCACAAGTTATGTCTTTTTTTTGGGAAGTCATCCATGTACTAAAGTTAGTCGAATCAATTTATATATAATATAATTGGAACTCTCACATGTAAATTTTTTGAGAACTGTTATATTTTTGCCCATTGTATTTTCATCAGGTGAACCACCTGCTCGCTTGACAACAGATTTTACGGTGGTAGGGCCACGCAGCAACCTCGGCTGTTGCACGAATGGGCAGGCTCGTCCGGGTAAATACCACGACCTCACAAAAGACCGGCGTAAAGTGGAAGTACGGTATAATACTTTCGCGTTTCGTCTGGTGAGTGAGGTGGCCGGAGCCCAATTTTCAAAAGGTTGTCAACGCATCTGCAACCCTCGGGTGTAGCAGATGTCCATGGGCGACGGTATTCACTTAACGTCAGGTGAACCGTCTGCTCGCTTGGCAACCTTTCACATAAAAAAACAACCAAATTCTTCCGAAAATATTTAATACCCATTAAAATGTTTTCCTTCACCGCTGAGCACACTAATAATTATATATAAGGCAGGTATTAAAATTGGAATGAATTAATATCATTATTGCTGGCACTGGGATTTAAGCCCAGGTTGCTCAAGTATATTAAATAATTTAGAATTAAAGGCGAGTGCCATGGCGAGCAATCCTGGCTCTTGGAGCATCTAGCTTATATCCTGCAGTGCTAATATTAATTATTCTATTAATCTGTATGGTATGTAATGTTATTATACGTATAATCGCTTTACTAAAAACTAAACTCTATAATAATTATTGATAATAATTTTTAGGTATTTATTGAACTTTACTTCGTTCTGTTCATTATAGTGAACATCTTTATTATCTTCGTCACAACTATTTCAGTCAATTTCGTAGTTATCATTAGTTTCTATAAAGATATAAAAAAGTTCTATTAAAATTAAAAAATTCTTCTATTATTAATTGATAGAACTAAAATCAAGCGTAGGGATACGAAACGGTACGGATAAGAAATTAGTTCCTTTGCAAAAAACTAGAGGGCGTTTTTCAATTCCTAAAATGCGCTATAGCTATGTTTTCACAAGTTTACTTATAAGGGTCATTTGCACTTATTGTAATAGTAATGTTGTCTATGTTCATGCGGTCGTAGTCGCGAGCAACTAGTATCAATAATATTCCCATAAAAACAAGAACTCAATACGAATATAAATACCTACAAGTTTACTATGTGTCATTATTTTGCAATAGTTATAAAGTACCTGCTGACTATTTAGTAAACTTTTGACAAACGCTTGACTTTTCACAGCTGATCCCATCATGATATTGATTATTTTCTTTTACCGAAACATTACTTTCTGGTAGCAAAATTTGTTGGAATGTGAAGGAATAGTGAGTATTGTTCCAAATACAAGATATGTAGTTCGCCCGTTGAAATTATGGTAATACCTAATTTTGCAGGGTGGTAGAATGACCGGAATCGATAAACCTGCCGTATACCGTATTGAAAAAAAAACATGTATCATCATATCACGGCAATTATTGTATCAATATAAGAGAAGGAGCGCAGACGAACTTACTAGCACGCATCGATGAGAATTGCCATGCAACCTTTAACTTCGTCTAGTCAGGTATTAGAACCTTCAAAACTGAAGAAACGTCTTCTTATATTAACAGAAAAAGGATGTATATAAAAATCAGAGTATTTAAAATATAAGTACCGTACAACTATAATCTATTGAAGCATGTTATTTTATTTCCCATTTTTGTTAGTTGTTGCACGCCAAAGTTAGAATAATCTAAAGGAACCTCATCGTTCTTACCTGTGTTAGGGGCATGCACTGTGAAACTCTCAGCTCATACATGTGCTGTGGCCCACGCAAGAGTTTTTACTGTTGCATGAATGGGCAGGTCCGTCTAGGGAAGTAACGGAAGAACCACCTAGGTTCTAGGTTCTCAACCTACTATCTGCCATATTTCCCTTAAAACAGGTATTTTCACTACAAATGATTATTTGTTCGTGTATTCCACGTGCCAAAACTCATAGCAGGCCTCATATGTAGCATTTTAATATTGCTTTAATTTAAATAAAATGTAACATAATTAACTAATTAATAAACTTATGTTATTTTCCACGCGGATTAGAAAAGGCAACTGTTTTGTTATCACTTATTCTTTTCCGCAATTCTTCATTTGGCTCTGCACTTTACTCAGTTTCGTGTTTTTTATATTATAATATCCAAACAGATACCTGCTTAAAAGGCAAGTAGTCATTTGACAGTTTTGACAACCTCTGGTTTCAGTTGAACGCAAACTCGAACGAATTCAACCAGGGTAAGATTTTGTACTATAATTATAGTATTTGTACTATAATTTCATGCATTCGTACTATATACTATCTATATATAAGGATAGTACGGAAATGCACTATAATTTCGTTAATTTACATAAATGACCAATATAAATGCCAATCGAGCATTAAAAATGGTTTATTTGGTTGCAGTAACGTTGTAATGTTTTAAACAATACAAATTGGATATTCACACGTGTCTTTGTCAATTATTACAACGGATTATAAATAATCTTTATCGATGAAGTATTAACGGGGACTTACCGTTAATTTTTTTTCTATACTAACCTTGTCGAAGATTAACTTTGCATATTGCACTATAAGGTAGTATAGTAGTAATAGGTAAGTAGTAGTAGTAATAGAGTTCATTGTGCCAAACCCCAACACGTGGGTTCTGACTAGCCCACCGGTTCTGCGTTAGATGAAGCTTTAATAGTCTTGGGACTCAAAGCAAAAACATCAGTTAATCTATATATACAGGGTGGCTTTTCTAAAGGTGCCCAAATTTACTAATCATTTTAATAATCGTTTATTGAAATTAAAAAAAACTTTTTTTTTTTCAAAAAATTGCTTTTGAAACGAACTTGTGTGTGTTAGTTATGAATGATCGCGTAAAATAAATGAGTTGCCCATAAATCACGCACTTTTTGGGATAAGTTCAAATGAATGTATTTAGTTAATGACGAGTGATTTAAAATATTTATCATTTTATTATTTTTTATATAACAGTATGTATGTCCAGAATTTAATTAAAAAAAATGGATACACTTAAAAAAGCCTCCCTGTATAACAAAGGAACGTGATTCGTGTTTGTTACAACACTTATAACTCGAGAACTGCTCGACCGATTTTCATGTTTTTTGAGTTGTTGGCTTTGTCTCCGCCTGGAATAGCAGAATAAACATTAAAAACAATTAAAAATTGACAAAAAAAATTAAGAACGAAAAATCATTTTTCCAAAATACTGTCATTAATGACATAAGACTGACTGATAAATACATACTATTATCTAATAGTATACTATATAAATAATATACTATTATCTATATCGCGAAAGCGTAAATTTCTTTTTCATTTTGTCTGTGATTTTTTTAAGATCAATTACAATACAAGATACAAGAAGAGTTCATTGATGTATAATAATAATAGTAAAATTGATTTATTATTTCCTTAACTAAGTTGTGAAATAAGCATAATCCATAGACACCATTTTATTGTGTTGTGACGCCATCAAAGATGGAATTTGTACTGATTTTATTCCTACTGAAGATATGTTAAAAAAAATTTAATTCAAAGGATTAAACTAATATTGAAGAATTGATAAACTTGGAAGAGAAGTAAATTAATGCCTGTTAAAATCAAAATTATGAAGTGTACTAATTTTTTTTACAAATACTATCCTTTTCAATTTTTTGCACTATCTTTCATCATACCCAATTCCAGCCCTGAAATCAACTTTCACTTTTTTCATATAATCTGTGGTTCTTTACAGGTTCTGAGCATTGTGTAGTGATTACATTCTCTTTGGTTCTGAGGGTGAGGGAGATAAATGTCGCAAGAATTGTTTATTATTTATTTATCTTGGGTAGTAGTTATTTACAAACCACCACTGAACATTAAACAAGGACAATTATTTTAATAAATAGATAAACGTCACCTTTAAATAGTTTATAAATAATAATCATTATCTTGATTTTTTCAACAACCAGTATTTCCTTTAATACTTGTGAATAATTAAAGAACTGAAAAGATTACAATTAAAACAAGAACCTCATTTTTCGGTCAGATTGTTATATAGAACCCAAAATGGCAGATATTCTGGACATACTAGATATAGAACAGCCTGGTGCTGCAGAAATTACAAGAGATAGTATTTTACATGGGGATAAAATGAAAAAGAAGTATGTCACAGCAAAAGCTGTTCGAAGACCGGAAGGCATGCATCGTGAAGTATTCGCCTTACTATACAATGACAACAAGGACTTACCTCCTTTGTTGCCAACAGACACAGGTAAGTCCAAACTTATTATAACATTCTTTTGATAGCTCTTAAGTTAATGTTATCTACATGCGAAAGGAAAGACAATTTTTTACTTAAGCCATAATGTACATGTTTTTCTTTCAATAATGACCTGTGCAAGTGTGGGGGAAGTTGATGGATGCAGGTGGTTCAGTATTGTACTTTGTGGTAGTCTATGGGGGAGGCCTATGTTCAACAGTGGACTCAAACAGGCTGAAATGATGATGAATGGGTGTTATAAGTATTTTTTACTAAACTAAACTTGATTTTAGGTAAAGCATATAAGCAAACTAAAGCAAAACTTGGAATGCGGAAAGTGAGAAAGTGGGTCTGGGCTCCATTTACTAATCCTGCTCGCAAAGATAATGCTGTGTTCTATCATTGGAAAAGAAAAACAGATGAAAGTAAAGAATATCCATTTGCTCAATTTAATAAGGCAAGTACATCTCAAGCAATCAACTTGATATCAATCACTATATGGGGTATCGTTACAACCGTGACAATAAATGAAAACATATAGAGGATAACTTTTTAAAATTGTATTAAGTATTCTTTAAACATCAATATTTACCGAGTTATTAAATTTTACCAAACAAACATTTTTAGAACACCCTCATGTATAAAACTGTAACATAAAGTTCATTTGTAAAGGTCACAAAGCATATGAATGGGTTGAATGAATTTAAAAGAGATAAAACATACTGTTAGAAGGAGAGACTTGTAATGCGACTTTGTGGCAACAATTGAATAAGTCTCATCAAAGAATCAGTCAGTTGTAATTGTATAGGTGTTACAAATTTTCTTTTTTATTTAATTAGTTTGAAAAAAATTTTTTTTTAAATATGGATTGTTTTAACGTTTTATAATTTTTTATGATTATTGGAGAATACCATTAGATGTGTGTTCATTTATTGTCACGGTTATATCGACACGCTGTATATTATTTAACAAAGGTGTTTTTGTGGTAATGCCATAACTTCCATAATCCTTCATCAAATTTCATAATTCAAACAGTCAATCTTAAAGCCTATGTTACTACTATTGGGGAAAAACAGCTATCATGAGATTAAAATTATTTTTCATTAAAAACAAAACCTAGTTGAATTTTAGATCACATATTTTTGTTTTAGCAAGTGTCTATACCATCATACTCAGAGTCTGAATATAATCAATATTTGAAATCAGAGGATTGGAGTCAGGCTGAAACTGATCACTTAATGGATTTATGTCAACGTTTCGATCTCCGGTTTATTGTTATCCATGATAGATGGGACCGTGCTGCATTCCGTGACAGAAGTGTAGAAGATTTGAAGGAGCGTTACTACAATGTTTGTGGAATTTTGAGCAAGGTTTGTTAAGCATTGATGTATAGTAATTCCAATAATTTTCCATTGATAGTCTATCATGTTAAAATATTGACTCAGGTGTATGGATTATTGCTCCTGCATTTAATATAGATTGGCATATTGGACATTGAATTATTATATTGCATCAAAAAGTGTGGGTTCAATCTGTTGATCTACTGGAAAAATATTGTAATGAACATTGTGTTCTTCTAGTGCCTGGGTCTTTAATACCTATTAATGTAATGTGTTACTATCTAACAATTTCATGAATGGTTCACTTCTATATGTTTATTGGAGAAATCTCATAAATGAAGTGATCAGAATGGCCTTCTTAATAATCGGAATGATCAATTCAAATAGTTTAGCCATCTGGCAGTTGATTAGTTAATTTCTACAATGATCAGTGTTTCAAAAACCGGACGTTAGTGAGAGAAATGAGATTTAAAAACAAATTTTGAAATTTCTTATTAAATATGCTTAATAATTTGGGCCACAGTAAACAATATTATTATAGTACTGCTCAATACTTTCATAAGTCATAATTCAATACAAAATACTAATATTATTCACAGGTAAAAACGAATCCGTGGTCCAATGCAGTGACTACTGTTAATGGAGAAAAGCGTGTTTATCATTATGATGCAGAGCATGAAAGAAAAAGAAAGGAACAATTACGAAGGTTATTTGATCGGACACAAGAGCAGGTAAAATATAACCAGTTTGCTTTATATAAATTCAATATAAAATGTAAAATTTTATATCACCATCAGCCGGAATATGTCCACTGTTGAACAAGGGCCTCCCCTATAGAATGTCACAATGAACGAAACTTTGTCATTTGTATCCACTGTTCGCGTACGATCAACATCTTACGAGCAGAGCTTAATTAATTTTAGCAAAAATATATAGTTTATTTAATGAACTATTTCATTT